AAACAGCTTTGTTGTTTACTGAGTCAAGGATGTGGCAATCTCCTCCCTGTAGCTGTAGGTTATGATAACTTGTTAAAGTGCAGGTCACAAGACGTGCAATTTCTTCCTGCAGAGCAATGAGCTTCACATAATGTCTCACTACCCAGCAGAGACAGCAAACATCAGGGACAGCCACAAGAAAAAGTAGTAATGCACACTATCATTTAAAAACCCTTGCCAGTCTTCAGCATGTCACAAACAATGGTAGGACCCTAGAAACAATAAGAATTTAGCTTACAGATTCAAGTGTACATAACACTGAATTTCCACTGAGCGTGTAAGCACCACATCTTAGCTTTCCAGATTTCAGTCTTAAAGTGCATCCCTGCTAAATGTTGTGGAGTGGATCTCAAATGTACATACGTATCTTCAGGGGCTCTGTCACTGCAAAATGGACTTAGAAATCTGGCAGCCCTTCAGTCCTCACAGAATGCCCTTTTGCACCTTTTCAGGAAAGAAAAGCCGCTGATGAAAACACCATACTGGGGAGGACAGACTTTCAATGCTGCCTGGAGGCGGGAGGAGTGAGAAAGAAAAAAATGACAGAGGGTGGGGTATTGAAACAGAAAGTGATGTGGTTAAAATGCTGAGGAAGCCTACAGTTAGCCATCCCCACAAATATGAGAATGGTGCAACATGTAAGCAAATAAATCTGATTTAAGGGAAGTTTTGAGAGTTAGGGTCAGGAAGGTGCCATGTTTGTGCAGACACAAAGAGGATGTAGCAGAGATGGACATACATGACTCGAAATGATGAAGACAAAGAAAGCAAGGCAGAAGAGCAAAGAACTTACAAAGTTAGTGTTATTTTACTATAAGTTACAGGTATAACTTTCTTAAGGCTGCTTAAATCAGCCATCTAGGACCACAAAAAGGACGTGCAAAGAAACAACACCATGCTCTTCCTTAGGTCTTGAAACAAGTCAAAGAAATCTACAGCAAATGCACTCATCTCCATGATTCACATTCAAGAATAAATATTGTCACATGGGTTAAGGTATGTATTTCCTTCTCTTCTGTGTGCCAGCTCTGGCACTGTTTGATCACTTGCAGAGGTTATTCAGCATGCATTGCCAGGAGAAACTTTGCCTTTTGTTAGACCTTTTCTTACCAAGTTTTTGCTGGATTAAGCTTGCTAAGAAATCAAAAGAACAGAAGAGTTAGTATGAGGCAATGCACAGCAGTGTGTGGCTGGAACCATTCCTTTTGGCAGAAGCAAGCTGTTACAATGAGCTCAGCTGCCTCATGACACCTCATTGTTACCAAAACAGTGAGTGACAGGCTTTCCAAAAAGCTATTCGCTTCACCAGGAATTCAAAAACAAGCTTTTCCCAGCAGCTGTTGGGAAAGACCAGATTTGCATAGCAACCCCAGGACTACTTGTACAGGGCTTTTTTTGTGAAAAAGATTAAGCTTTCTGTTACAGAGGAGGACTAACAGCTTCCCCTCCTAGAAGTATCAGAGAAAAGATTTCATGCATTTTACGAAGATATTTTCTTGGATTTCTCTCTTCATATGATAGGCGTTTGGAATTTCTTGGATTACATGTTTCTTTGAGCAGTCATTTTGTAGGGTTCCTTCCAAAATAAGGGACACACTTTTTAGGACTGTCATTTTGTCAAGACTCTTTTTTTGGCATTTAGATGTATGAAGTGCTAAGTCAGAAAAATCAGTACTCTGCAGCCTACCAAGGCCTAAGAGATGGGGCTGTTCAACAGAGACCACTGTTTGCATGGCCAGATCCAGAGCAGGATATGCTTTCAGACCTAAACAACAAGCGCCCTTTATGTAAGCGACGCTGAGAAGACATCTTGTGCACTCCCACCGAATTCAGATTTTAGAAAATATTTTCTTTTGCTGGAGGCAGGAGGCTGAGGCACTTCTGAGGAGTATGGTGAGGCAGTGCTGGGGCATGTGGCCACAGAGACCATGAGCAGGGCTCTGCAGGAAAACACACGTCCCCTTATCCCGACTGAATGAGACAAGGGTGCAGGGGGCCTGAATCTGCTTCTGTGTGGATACATCTACCCACTTCCCTGCAGGAGGAGGACCAGCAACAGAGGAGAAGGAAAAGAAGCCAGACAGAAGTCACAAACCGAAGACAGAGCCTGCGTACAGATTATCAGAGATTACAAAGCTCCCAGATAAAAGCAGACTGAGGGTACTAAAGAGAGAACTGAGAAAGTGTTTGTAATGTGGCAGCTTTATTAGAATGCAGAATTGAATACAACAATTAAGCATCTCTTCTATATGCATCTAAGTGGATTCTTTTCTCCTCTCCTCTGTGAAAATGACCATAAGCTTGTTAACCATGTCTGCTGTCTCCAGAGTGAGACCTATGCAAACGGAAGTGTTTGGCACGCTTTCCTCCAGTCATTCTCCCCTCTTTTTAAAGTGTCTTATCCAATACAAGCATTTCAGTACCCAAATAAAAAAAACAGATTCTCAACAGCATCCAACAGGGTCTCAGAAATAAGACTGTTTTTGAGAGAAAGGACAAATTGGGAGGCATAACTAATTAAGCTGTTCAGCAGCTTACATATCGTGTTCTTGTTTTCTGAGGCCAGCCAAAGCATGGGTGAAACCTCTTTGAGTTAGATAAAAGAAAGTTCAGCTTTACTGCTCACAGTGGCAAGCTGTTCTCCTGATTAAGTTTAAACAGGAGTGCTGCTCCTGGCCACTATCCCTGTCACTCACTCACTTGAAATCTTACAAACTTTGACACGTGAAAAGCACATCTTTCTTTTAAAAGCAACTATAGAAAGTAGCAAATTGGTTTGGATATTCAGTGGTGTTGCCCCCTCTCCACAAATAGGGAGACTTCCAGACATAGCTGCTTCCACTGAAACAGCTCCCAACCCTTTGTTGCAGTACTATCACAGCATATTTAGTATATATTGAGTCAAAGAAAGCTGGGTTTTGGTGCACAAGGCCCTGAGTTTGTACTGCTGCAGTCAGTCACCTCCATACTCATTAATCTGCAGTGAAGAACAAACTAAAGTTCACCGGTTTGAAGAAAACAAGCAGAAGGAGCAGTGCCATCTTTGTGCATCTGTTTTTGTCAAGCATCTTCCAGGAGAAGGAGGAGGCCACATTTGCCTGTGACAGCAAGAAACAGGTCTGGGTAGGCATAATAACACACAGTAGGGAATCTGAGTTTTGCGCAGGAGGAATAGCAGCCTCAAGGAGAGCACATATCCTCAGCCCAGCTGGGGAAAATTTACAACAGAAGGAGTATGGCTTAGTAAACTTTTATCACTACCCAAGGGACAAACAGAGGACTGCAGATCTCTGCCCAGACAAAGTGGCTGGAACACGGGCCAAGGAGGCTCCTTAAGGTCCCATTTGGAGTTCATCTTCTCTCTTTTCTGGCTGAAGAAACCCCCTACTGCAAAGTAAGGGACCCTTTCTGAGACTCCGTGTGGTATTTATCACAGTCATTCATTCTCTAGGCATAATGGTATAGAAAAAGCACTTGTGAATCATACCCAAAAACTGCTATACAAATGTTAGATGTTAACCACTGTTAAATTATTTGCATATTCTCCATTGCAGCCATTCCCTTTTCATTAATTTTGTTAGCCCCTAATAATAGTTTCTAATTAATAAAGGTACAGAAGGTAATTCAGATACAAGGCAAGAGGCAACACAGCAAAACTATAGTGAAGAACATACATAAGCCCATACTTCTGGCTGATACTTTGCCACGCTTTCTTTTATTGCTAAGTAGTCAAATGACTCTGAATGCCTATCATGCTTGCTAATTGTTTTGGCTAGTAACAATAATAGATTCACTTGGATTTATTAGACACAGCATACTTCATTAATGCCAATCTCCAGAATTGTACTAATGCCTGCTGACAGTACTCTCACATTGTCTATTACCAAACTAGAAATGAGGTCATTGTGATTCATGTAATAATGTGATATACATGTTTGTAGCAGTTTGTAAAAGTTTTTAAAATTCCTAAATGAAGACATCTGCTTGGTTTTGTCTCTCCAACTACTCTGCAATTAGGATTTCCCACATGGAAGACCTATCTTTAGGAAATCCAGGAGAAACATACTGCTCGCTTTCCAAACTTCACTGATGCTTTTTCTTTTTTTTTTTTTCCCCCAACTAAAGTAAGGGAACTCACAGCTTGTTTCTGTGCTGCCCTTCTCCAGTAGGAAGAGAATCATCTTCAATTAAAAGTGACATTCCAGAAAGTTTGCGATTAGAAGGGATCAGGGTGCAAAGAGAACAGCCTAAGGAAATACTTTTGCAAAGATGGCAGAGATTGGTGGTAATTAAAATGAAGCAAAACAAAACAAAACAAACAAAAAAAAAAACAGATACATTAACAACTTTTTTTTTTTTAATCTCAGCTGGGGTTGGGGAAAGGTAGGATACACCCCTCCGTTTGAAAGAACAGTACAGAAACAAGACTGATCCTTAGGCGTAACAGTAGATATTGCATCTGGAGTACATTAATTACTGAACACAGTGGAGGGAGCAGTTCAGGTATACCTAGAGTATCTAAATTAAAATCTTATCTACTTCTGGCTGTCAGAACAGCAGCGTGCAGCTCATACATGGCATTCCTGGAAGGACTGCCAGGCAGAGCTGTGTTTTGGCATGTGGAGTACAGACGCATGGCTGAGATGTCTCCACTGTGTAGAAGTGCCAGGCTCCATCCACCACCCCCATCACCTGTGTGTGATTGGCACATGAGCCCCCATCACATCAAGGCTGCCCAGCTGAGCCAAACAGAAAGATAAGGGCTTCAGACAAAGAACTGCTTTAATTTGCCATGGCCAAAACATCGGGCTCTTTTGATCTGGCACATACGCTGAGTTCTGGTGAAGGGCAGTATGGCACAGCAAATGAGCCCTTGCATGGCTATCAGGAGCAGCTTCTGCAATTCCTTCCCAAAGGTCTTCAGGCTGTTTTTGCACATATTAGTGATAAATAGCACTTACCCACTTCTGAAGGCTTCTCTTCCTCCAAGCCAAACAAAAATTCATATTTGGCCTTGGCAACAGACTGGGCATGAGCTGATATATCATTATCCCACACAAGTGCTTCTGCCTGCAGAGTCAAAATAAACAAAGCTTATTTATCTTCAGTGGAAAAAAAAAATGGCAGCAGGAACATGAGATCCATTCAGGTAGGTTGCAAGGTAAAGTTTAAAGTGCCTGGGCAAGAGTATCAGAAACTGTAAATTCAACTAAGAATGTTACAAAGCTAGAACCCCCATGAAAAACAGGACTGGCTGTTTCAGAGGGAAAAGAGTAGGGCAGTGAAAGGGAGGAATAAGAGCTACAACAAGGAGAGTCAGAAATGGGTAAAAGGACAGTGAGGCATGTACAAAGGTGTTTAGAGATGTCTGAGGGTCTCTGCCAGGCAGTTTACACCCGACCTCCACTGTTTACATCAACCCAACCTTTTGTTTATGATCAAACAAAAGGTTTGTTTGATCAAACAAACCTTTTTTTAAACAAGTTAAACGTGCTTCTTTAGCCAGGAGGAGGCTCGGGGTAATCCTCCTGGCTCACAAGGAGGCATCTGGGGGGATGGATGGATGGACAGATCAAGCACTCGGGTGTCACACAGGCTCCACCCACCACTTCCTGCTAATAAGAAGCAATTTGACACGGTAAAGCCCAGTTTCTCAGAGGAAAGAAAGTCTGCATGACTAACATTAAAATTAGTTTTCTGAGAGGTGAGGACAAATCAAATCTCCAAAACACACTCCAGAAATACACTGTACTGCAAATACTGTTTGCAATCAGAACTGAGTTTCTACATAGCTGGGCAAGACAGAGCCTGTAATTCTTGTTTCTGAGGTGACAGATGAAATAAATCATTAACTCTATAAATTCTTCATCAATCTTCGTATTCATACCCTATGTCTGAAGCAGCCAGTTCTTACAGCATATCAAGTCATTTCATGGTTCATGGCAAAGGACTTTGCTTACAAAAATACTCAAAAAAAAAAGGCCGATGGAACATTCTGCCCCCCAGGACATTAATAACTTCTATGCACTTCCATCAAATACCTGAGGGTAAGCGTCAGCTACGAACAGAAATTCAAAATATAGGAGACACATAATTCACAATAGCACATGATCTTTAACAGATGAAATAAATGAAATCACAAATCTATGCTTTCCCTTGAGGCCAGCTCTCCAACAGTTGCATTTTCTTCCAAGACCATATTGGCAAATAGCCATCTTGCCACATGCCCTACAACAGTGCCCGGCTTTTCTGTTTTTTTTTTCTCCCCAATTACCTCTCCCACCTCTCTGCCTTGAGCCAGTGCTGAAGAATTTGGTCCAGCACACATGCTTAATAACTGAGCAGTAGATCATCTGTGACATTCTTGGATGTATTCATCACTCATTCACTGTTCTATTTACCACTACGACTCTTATAGCTACTCTGATAGACCTGCTAACGTTAACCTGTCAAATAATTCGAGAAAAACACCTACACACACAAAAAAATAGAAGGACTTTCTAGCATAAAGAATAGTATCACAAGCATGATAATAGAAGTGTGGAAGAAGTCTCCACGTCTCTCCTACTTTTTCAGGCCTGCATTCATTTGCAGGATTTGTGGCAGGAACGACTGGAAAAGGGACGGCTGCGTGCAGGAAAAAGCTCTTAGTTGGAGATATCGTGGTCAGGAGCAGCTTATGGAGCCAGACAAAGACCTACTGTACCCAGACTGATGCTAAGGGATGCAGTGGTTCGAATTCTAGCTGATGCCAAATTCTGCTCACAGATGAATTAAATAGTAAAATAAAATGGGCAGAATGCTCCAGTTCCTGAGCAGTCAGGAATTTCTGATCTATGCACCTATGCAATACAGCATCTCCATCTCTCAGCACTGCTCTTCAGAACTTCACAGACATCTGCACTGAGCTTCCCTGCCAACAAACACATTTTTCAAGGGCTTATATTTGCCCATACCTTATCGTAAAGAGCACTGTACGCAGTTTGGCTTGCGATGCTCTCTTCACTACCCAATAACTAGCAGAAGTGAATGATTTTTCAGTGTACAGGACAACCTTTCACAGTTAGATGTCCAAGTAGGGTCTGTAAGACCTTCATCTTGCCACCTGAAAAGGATAACCTAAAGCAGTTCACAGCCTCCAGACCCAGGCTTAGCAACAAGGTTGTATTATTTCATCTAAACAAGAGATATTAGAGAAAGAAGAGGGAGAGAATGAGAATGCTATGAGGTATGAGCTGGTTTTAAGACTACTGCTTTACTGTGCTTCTTCCTTAGAGACAACAGAATGAAGAGTTAAAGCAGAAAATCAAGAGAAAAGAATTAGCTCTCCTTTCCTTTCTTCACTCTGTCACTCACCTAAATCTTGCTGAAGTCATAATGCCCCTGAAACCAGGAGCTCAGAGAAGGGCTGGGCAAATGTTCATGGAGCTTTCCAGGCTGCATTAGCAAGGATTAAAAGCAAGCAAGATTGGAAGGGATATAAAACTCCTGCTTAAGCCTTCTCCTTCAGCTCAAGAGCAAAGAAATCTGCATCCTGGTCAGCTCATTTCTTAATTGCTTCCCTCAGAGGGCTTTAACCACCACCTTTGATGCATTTGGTGATTGTCACTGCCACAGAAGTTGACACTCAAAGCATCAATCCCAGTCCAGCTGGGATCAGTCCAGCTGTACATACACTTCTCATAAGCCTCAAACACACTGTTTTTCAGTCCAGACTGAGCTCTAGACAGAAGAGCAGCAAGTCCCTGCCCATTCACCCACCTCTCTAGCAGTACTTTCTGCATATTTGATCACATTTGATCGAGCCTAATCCTTTGAGTCATGGTTCTCGGTTGGGAGCTGAAGAGGCTGCATTTGTCTCTGGCCCAACAGGCCAGACGCAGTGAGACAGACCACAGTGACTTCATAGAAGAGACCTGACAACATGGCGCTTAGGAAAATCAGAATGGGAGGAGTGCACAAGTTTGATTCTTCAGGGAGCGTGAGTAACACAGACAGCAGGAGACCAGCCACATTAAAAATACCTCAGGAGGAAGGGGACCTCTCATCAAGGACTGCACCAGGCTAGAGAAGTGAAAGTTCCCTCAGAGGATTCCCTATAAGGTTTGTTAATAAAACTGCCACCCCATTCAGAGAAAGAAAGGTGATTTCAGTTCTTGGCTTACTTGACTCTAGTTCTTCTGGAGGTCCAAGAGGGAAAGAGCAGCTAGGATGAGGGGTTTACAGCTACAGTGTGCCACAGGCGTGTAGCCACAGTTCTTTACTCTCTTATGTGCAGTGCTCTACCCGGCAAAGTTTACCACCTTCCTCTTTGCTGTGAGGCTGAAGGGAATTAAGTACATCCAGCATCAGCTTTGGATGACTTCACAGCCGCACACACAGACCACTCCTCAGCCCAGAATCCTCACTTCTTCACCAGCATCTCTGGCAAGATACAAAATGCCTTTCAGCAGCCTATCACATACCCTGATCTGGTGAGCTTATGCTTTCAGGAGCAGTTTAAATATCTGCGCCAGTGTTCTCTTCCACAGCCAAGAATCTCCCTCAGAGATTCACTGAAACACAGTAACTCGAAAAGGAACTGCTAATAAAAAGAAATACATAAGAGAGAGGCAAGAATGATGGACAGGTTTTGATAGATGTGCTGCCTTCTTCAGCAGGTTCCCAACAGTGTCCACATCAAGCTGCTATTCCATGGTCAAATCTCCATAGCAATGAGAGCTCTGCCTCTGCTGCCATGGATGGACAAACCATCCAACCACCCGGCAGCACTAATGGTCACCCCTTGGTTTTTAAGCACATTTAGAATTCCTGTGTGGGTGTGAACTCAGCAAGCCTTAGTGCTTCTGACAGGTTGTGCTAATTGTTCTGAAAAGCCTATTTCTGTTGAGCTTTTCTTAAGTCACTTTCCAAAGTAACAGGATGAAATAGGGAAAGCTGGAGCTAAAATAAACACGCTAGCTTCTGAAAGCCAATGCATTGGCAGCAGAGAGGGAACTGAGAGAACACTGGTGCTCATAAAAAGACTACTGAGATGGTTTGTAGCTTTTATTTTTGTACGACCTCGTACACCGTGTTCTGTTTTCCTCACACACACTCCCACATGCTAATATGTGTGTTCGCAACTTTTAAATTAAAGCAATAGTAAATAGATTAAGACTGAGAAGAGCAGGTCTGCAAGGCTTAATCTCACCTGAAGCAACCAGTATCAACATTAGCAAAGGTGCAGGGGAGTTACAGGGAGTTCTGTGAAGAGCCAGGAGGTCTGGGAGAAAGAACAGGACTAATGTGAAGGCAATCCATATAATCATTCTCCAGCATTTTGGATTATACAAAGGGATGACTAAATCAGGTACAGCTTTTCAACTAAAGGAAAGAACTGGCTGGAAATGCATGGCAGAGACGCACGCACTCACAGGGGGTCTGGAAAAGCCTATGAAAAGTGATTCACCACCTCTTTTAATACATCAGCCAAAAGACATCAAAAGAAGGTATTAAAGAGTCAGCACTGAACCAAGCAGGAGGAGATGGTTCCTCAAACAGTTTGTACTCAAACCACAGTGTTCCCTTCAAAGCAGTGTCACGGAAGCCAGAAGCCTGCAGGAGCAGAGTAAGAGGCCAAATAAACTTAAGGGATACACGTCCTCCACATAGGTAGAGACCATCACATTCTCCTCATGAAACCTCAAGACAAACCCTTTCCAGGCACCTGCTGACGTCCACAACCACCTACAGGCTCCTGGGCTGACTGAGGGCCCAGCCATCATCAACCAGCACTCTTACCTGCTTATCAGGCTTCATCATGTCGCGGTATAAGGCAGGCCTTAGGCTCAGCACTGAGGCTGGTGGCTCTGCTCCTTCATCCCCACTGCAAGGCTCTCCCAGGCACACACCCTGTGCCCACTCCCCAGGAATGTGCCGAAAGGAATCAGGGCTTTGCAGGCTTCTCATTGTGCTCAGGACATGGCAGAATTTGTTTACCAGGATTTGTTTGCCTCCTGGGAAGCGTTCAGGCTGAAGAGAGAAAAACTAAGAGAGGGCAGATACTATCAAGGCTGTTCTCCCTCCTC